TTTAGGGTTTAAAATAAACTCTCTTGAGGAGTGCTACAAAATATTCATCCCACGTCTGCCTATGGTGGGATTTCTTACACATTTCTTTCAAGGAAGTGATTTCACAGGCAGTTCTGGGATGAAATGAGCTTCCAAGTTCCTTTGGTGACTGTTGTTCGCTCAATGACAGCCTGCAACAGTTTGTTGCTCTCTTCAATTCTTCTTCTTATCTAAGATTGCCTGTACTTTCCTGCTGAAAAACTGCTGCAGAGCATTAAAAGGCAAGTATTTGAACTAAAGGAGACCTATGTATTCTAAATTCATTATTTCCTTATATTTTTTGCAGTCAAAGGCATTGTTTGCAGTGTTTACAGGTATCATTCTTAAATGCAAATCTGCAAGGATGGCTTTGAGATGTATCTGCTGCTTGCATGAATATTTTATATATGTTATGCCACAGATTAGTGCATAGAGATTCAGAGAAAATGACCATTTTTTGAGATATGAACATGAGGGCTTCTTTTGAAATTATTAAATTTATTATTATGAAATTTACATTTTTTAAATCACAGTAGTGATGTCCGCATCAATCCTTACAAACTCTTCTATAAAGAAAATTCTGCAATCACCTTCTCGTTAAGAGTTACTATCAAACCAAATGTGCTTTGGAAGCCAGTTGATTTATCAATTCTCTGTTTCACCATGCTTTGTCCAGCTAATAGATACCATCTGTCAAATCCACACACCTATAATGAGAAGTACATTTTGCATCACTTTGAGTTTCTCCATGGAGCTTCAGTGAGGAAACCATTGCTACGTGTGTCATACCATCTCCCCTCTGAAGGCTCCTGAAGATTCATCAAGAGGGCTGGCTGGTAAATGGGTTTTTGTACAGCTCAGAAAACCTAACATGGGGTATTTCATTCCAGATTTCTCCTGGCAATGTGTACTGCTGTGCCCATCAGCCAAAACTTGTGTGGGAAAGTGTACTGCACCTTCAGCTCTGAGAGCCAGCAAACTATAGGGTTTTGTCATTAATGGTGTCTTTTTATATGCACTTCAGGGATATTTGAGGTTTTGGTAGCTCCTGTATTCTTCACACTACAAATTATGATAATTATATTATAGGAATATATCTTCACACTCATCAAACTTTTCATTTAATAAAAAAAAAAGCAAACCCAACCCCACAGGTTGGATATGCAATTCCAAATCAGTAAAATCAGTAATAGAAATTAAATTCAAAGTCTCATACATGTTTCATATATATTTAAATACCATTTTTATGCTTTGAACTATTAAACTGGTTTGTTTTTCCAGTGTTGTAAGCAATTTCCTGAAATGAAACACCAAAGCCAAGGAAAGAAAAAAAAAAGGCATCCAAATTAATCTCTGAATCATCTCAAGGTTTTCATCTTGGGGATAAAATTTGGATTATTATTAATTTTCTTGAACATGTTTCATGTTAAGTTGTCACTATTACAGTAAATACAAGAAAGCAGTTATTTCCAGGGAGAAATGAGTAAGCCTTGAAATAGTTTGTGGTCAGCTCAGAATTTTTATTGACCAAGAGTCCACAAATATCTTCTGATCCTCAGATATGTTTATGCATTTTCTTAACCATGTTTGCTTTCCTTGGATAAAACTACTTTTGGACCCAAAAAGCCACCTCTAACTGCATAAGTTTCAATCTTCTCTTCATGACTAGAACATTACATCACTAAATACAGCTGATACCTTCTGCAATACCAGAAGACTGGGAAATATGATTAAATTCCAGTACTGAGTAAAAGGTCAATAAATATTTTAAATCGTCGTAGGTGTGCTCCTGTACTTTATTATTTATCCATTCAGAATTGGTATTAAGCAAGTTTTTAATGCTTTAATCCTCCAAAGTTGGGTATAAGCTATCTCCAAAAACTCATTATCTAGAGAAACTATCAAATCCAGAGAGTTGCCTCTCTGTTCCATTTTCTGATTTCAAACATGTCTCAGTCAAATACTTCCAGTACTGTATTTCATTATTTGCTGCAATTAATTTTGTTGAACTATACAGATTTGGTTCTCTCTTTTACTTCAAGTTCTTAAAGTGCTTTGAAATTTTCTTTAGTTAGTTTGAATTGAGCAACCAAGGACCTATGTAAAACTGACTTTTTCCAAGGCAGGTATCTTCTAATTTCTTGTTGTTTTAGATTTGCCCTTACTTGATTCATCTACAGCTGAGTTGGATGGCAGTTAACAGGCAGAAAGTAAATCTTTTTTTCTCCACATCTCTGTAAACCTCACTGTGTGTATGCAGATACACACAATTGCATACAGCTCCCTCAGTTCTGCTGCACATCTACCTCGTCCCATTTGTTCCTCATTCTGGACCAGGTTCAAAAGACATTACTGAATTGTTCAAAATGTTACTGACTGTCCTCCAAAAAACCACTTTTATTCACACATGCAAAGGGTCAAATTTCTGGTGGGTCTGAAGCTCTTCTCAAGGATTTGATTTGGTATAGAAGGATTACTGATGATAGTTTCAAAGCAGGGAAATATGTCAGGCATATGGCATACGATTATAACCAGAACAGAGCTCTGATGTGCCCCCAAAATCCAACCACTCCATTCCCAAGCATTACCCTGGACCACTTCAGCAAACAGATTTTCTCTCTTCCAAATCTTTAAAACAATTCCTGCTGCCTTCAGTCTCAGAAATAACTTTCTCCCTTTTCATATCCTTCTCATGCCTGCCCAGAAAGCCAGTGTTCTGTGGAAGCACTTTTAATTTGATTTTAATCGTGGGTTTTGCTGGTTTTGTGGGGTTTTTGTTGTTGGCGGTGGTTTTTTGTGTTTTATTTCTCAGCAGAGTCATTCTTATTTCTTCTGCAGTGCTTTGACTGGTTCCTTCCTTTCTTATTAGCTCTGACAGCCATGGCAATTGCATGTGCGTGCCTCAGAGACAGCTCCAGCACTCACTGCAGCTTGCCAAAAGATCTCTTATTTAAAATTACAACCGTTGGACAATTTCACCTATGTACTTCAAAGGCACTTTGTTCTGACAATACACATCCCTCCAAAAGGTCTCGAACTTGCAAGTTGGATAATGTACTGCGTTCTCCCTGACAGAAAATATGATTGGTTTGTTTTCAAGAAGATCCTTGCTGCTTTTATCTCTTTACTTTTCCAAATCTATAAATATTTTGGTATAACACAGAACGTTAATTTATGCAGAAGACATTCAGGTTTCTGTAAGGCCATGTGTTTCTTACAAGATATATCATATATTTGTCAAGCTGAAAAACCAACAGAGATGGTATGGAAATCACATTTCTTTTTTTTTTTCTTTTTTTTTTTCTTCCTCTTTCTTGGTTTTTTTTGGTTTTTTTTTTTTTTTTGTGCTGCTTCAAAATGAATCAACTATGACTCCATATGCTGCAACAATTGCTGAGAATGACAAAAGTAATATATTTTTCTCAACAAAAAAGCACCATTAAATTAAAGAAATTGTATTTCCCTTAAATCTTCCTGTATCTTCCTGGCTCACTTAACATCTTGTTGTTTTATTTCTGTGTAGGCTCTTGCCATCCTTCCTTGGGGTAGGCTTCTTTCTAGAGAAACATGAGCATCCTCTGGCCACTGCTGGAATAACTGAGATGTCCTTCACTTTAAAGGTGGAAGAATCCTCCACCTGTGCCAGGACCTCCACTGTGCCAGCACATTCAGGGTGGATTGGCCTTGGGCTTTGACATTCCCTGTCTAAGAGCTTAAGTTTTACCTTGTGCTTACTGTGAGCCTAATAAAATAAAGTTACAGTAAAAAGATATTATATATAATAATATATAAAATGTATATATATTATACATATGTATATATCTATACACATATATATATGAATATATATGTGTATAAATATATGTACACTAAATACTACTATCAAGTTACAACTTTGCTTCTTTAAAAATATGGATCACTTATCATGTTTCAGCCTAGAATTCATCTGCTTTTCATAGCAGAAGAGTTATTTGCTCCTTGCTCTGCTTGAAGGGGTCAAGTTACTAGAATTATCAAGAGAAATCCTCACTCTGTTTGAAATTAACTGGGTGTGGATATCAGTTGGCTGAACAAAAGGAATGTCTGATTATACTCTAAGCACTGAAGATACATTGCATATCTAGGAAGCTTTTCTTCTCATTACTTAACATGTTGCTTGGTTACCTCATCAAACTTGTCATCTGTGAGGAAACCCATCTCATGAAGGAAAAAAATAAACCATAAAGCTAACTCCACTGGGACTGAAATGGGAGAAAGGCTTTTTATTTATGCTTATTTCTGAAGTTTCAGTTCAAAACTAAGTTGCTATCTTCACACCCCAGATATGAAAAAAATATAATTGCACAGACTATTCCCAAAAAATTGTGTCATGCCCCATAGTGGAGTGCTCTCCTGCCCCTCGGTGTGACAAACATCACTCTGTGTGTTCAGTAGTTGCCAGGACCTTGGATAAGGCTTCATGCAAATCCCTTACAATCAATTCTTCACTTTTCTGTAGGCCACAGGTACTAAGTTAGAAGGCCAACCGATAGAGAAAAGGTTTGGCACAATCAGATGCTTCCCATGCTGCTAAACCCAAGGATCTTGAGAAGCCTGGACTTTCTCTAACAGTTCACCCTCATTTGGAGACAACACAGAGTCAGGCAGGTTTGACACTGGAAAATGGCTTTCCCAAGCATTTCTCCTGTGGTTGTGGTAGACCTGATCCTTGGGTGTGCTCTGCTCATGAGATTATACCTCCATTTTCCCACAGGCTGTGCAGAATTCAGCAAACCTCAGTTCCGGGGTGTAAAAAAAGATGACATAATGATAATGATAATAAAGATGGTGATGATGATAATTAATAGTAGCAATAGTAGTACCACCAAAACACCAACAAAAAAACCAACCAACCAACCCTCTCCAAACTAAAACAAACCACCAACAAAAGAATCCCCCACGCAAAGAAAGAAGAGCTTTGCCCGGGAAGCCGCCAGCTCCCTATGGGCCGTGTTGCACCAGCGCTGCGGCGCCTCTCCCTCTGCCCATACGACCCCTCCGACCCTCCCCAGCCATCAGCCGGCAGCAGCGTGCGCTTCTCCCGGTGCCGCCCGGCGCAGCCTCTCCCGCTCGGTCCCTCCATCCCTGCCGCTGCCGGTGCCGGTGCCGCCGCCGGTGCCGGTCCGGGCGGGTTGGGCCGGGCCGGGGCGGGGTCCGCAGCGCGCACGGTGCCGCCCCCGGCGGGCAGACGGGCGCGGCGGCGTCACGCGGCGGTGCCGCCCCCCGCTCCCGGCGGCCGCCCCCGCCCGCTGCCGCCGCCGCCGCCGCCGCCGCCGCGCACCCGCAGCAGCGCCCGCTCCGCTCCGCTCGGCTCCGCTCGGTCGGCGAGCGGCAGAGGCAGCCCCGGCAGCCGCGCCCGGCCCGGCCCGGCCCCGGCCCCGCGGCCCCCGCGCAGGTAAGGCGCGCCCGCAGCGCGGGAGGAGCGGCGCCGCGGAGGAACAGCCCCGCTCCGCCGCGGCGGAGCCGGTGGTGGTGGTGGTGGTGGTGGTGGTGGTGGCGGCGGAGCGAGAGGTTGGTGGGTTTGCGTGCGGCGATGTGGGAGAGGTGGATGGCGAGGAGAGGAGATGGTGGAGCGGAGGTGTAAGTTAAAGGTTGGATGCGGTGATTTATTGCCCCTTGCCGAGGCGGCGGGGAGGAGGGGAGAAGAGGGTCTGCGAGACTTGAGCGATAAAATCAATCTGCTGCATGTTCTCCCTGACGTGAAGTGCCGTGGTGAAACGCGAAGCCGGGGCAGCGATGGGATATCGCAATATTGTTGTTATTTATCGGCGGAGGTCTGAAAGAGACGAGGGGCTTGTGCGGGAAGTGCATTGATAATTTGGGACATTTTCTATTGTGTGTCAGAAGAAAGAGGGCACTCGGCTTCTTCTATATGTGTTTGAAACTGTTTAGGTTCCTGCTGATGGTGTGCATTTTTGAAGGGATAGAAATTATATCATAAGCATATTGAAATAAAGACATCTGCAGACTGGAAGGGGAGCAAAATCGATCATTCCAGCCGCTTTGGAAAGAATTTGATTCTAGAAATTACGTAGAAATGAAAGGAAAAGATTAATGATGCTGTTAAGTCTGCTTTTGAATTAGAGCGCTTCTCCCTTTGGCTGCAGCAAGGTTGTTTTTCAGATCCTTTTATTTCATCCGGTAATTTGTGAACTCTGGTCTTCCCCGCACCCAGAGACAATGCACTGTATTTCATACAATAAGGATTCTGCCAAGGATTGTGCATGCCAACCGACCTGGCATTTATTAAGGATTTATTGACCTATGGGTGTCTCTCTCTCTCTCTTTTTCTAATTTGAAAAGGCTCAATCGGGGCACCTGTGACTAAATCATAATTTTTGAAGAATAAAAAATGGTTGTAAAGGGGTGGGGGAAGCACACGAATTCACTGGCGAGGCTCTGAATGCAATAGCTACATTTATATCGGTTTGTGCCTATTTCTCGCTACATATGTGCATGTTCATGGATACATTGCTGGGAGGGATGCCTGGTGCTTAAGAGCCATTTGAGACAGATAGATAGATAGATAGATAGATATCAATAAATTGTCCTCTTCCGAGAATGAAAGTGTCCCTCTGCTTTGGAAATGACTAGACAAGAGTGTGCTGTTTATTGGCAATGTGTGAATTACACCGGCAGTAATAAATAAGCAATTGTTTGCTGGGCTATTTTTTCCTTGGGTCTTTCTCCTTTCTTTTACAGTCTTTCCACCTCTCTGTCTTTTTGTATTTCCTTTTTTTTTTTTTTTATTATTCCCTCTTTTTTTTTTCCCCTCTTTTTCCTTTCCCCCCTCTCGCTGCTGCTGCTGCTGCTGTGTGTGTGTGTGTGAGTGAGTGAGGGGGCAGGCAGGCGCTGCAGCCAGCGGCAGGCAGCGGGCAGGGATAGAGGGATAGGGATGCTCTCGAGGTGGGATCCCCGCGCGGCTCTCTCCGCGGACACCTGTAGGGATCGCTCTGGCACGCACGGCGGCCGCGCACACACGCTCGCACACACACTCGCACCGCGTCCTTGCCTGGCTCCCCCCACCCTCCTCCCCGCCCCTGGTAGACACCACGGGCTCCCAGCACCCTCCCGCTCCCGCGCCCCTCGCACGGAGGCGCAAACCCCTTCCCTTCCTTCGCCCCGCTCCACCCGCAGCCGCGGCGCCCGCCCCGCGCACCTTGCGCTCCCCTCCCCGCCGCGCCTCCCGCATTCCCTCCCCACCGCCCCTTCCCCCGGGGGCCAGCCCAGCCCCGGCAGCTGCCCGGTAACCCCCGTGAACACACACACACAGACACACACACCCCACTCACCCCATCTCCTCAAACCTCCCCTTTCCGCCGCTCATCACCCCTCACACTCAGCCCCCTCCCTCCGTGTCATTGTCCCCGGGCACGCACGCCGTGTCTCACACCGCCAGCCAGCACCCGGCTCCCCGCACCCCCCCACCCCCCAAACCCGCTCCATCACCGCCTCCTTCCCCTCCGCCGCAGCGGGGCCCCGCGGCCGCCCGCACATCCCCTGCCCGCCCCGGAGCGCGGCTCCCCGGGCTCGCCCCGGAGCGCAGCCCCCGGCGGGGCCGCTCGGGTCCGGGCGGGCGCGGGCAGCGGCGCCGCCGCCCCGTCGGGCCGCGCAGGGCGGAGCTGTTCCGGGTGCTGAAGCGGGAGCGGCCGCCGTGCCGCAAGCCAGCGGCGCCCCAGCCCGCGGGCACCGCCGCGCCCGGGAGGGCCCTTTGGGGAGCGGGCTTGCGGGGGCTCCCGGAAAATCCCTCGGTTGGTAGCGGCGGTGCCAGAGGTGGCTCCTGCCGAGGGGCAGGGAGGGCGTGGGGGGAACCTGGGGTTTGCCTGATGCTGGTGGGTACGCCTGGTGTCTGCCCGCGAAGTTTGGGGAGGGGGGGTTCTCCTCTTCTCCCTTTTGCTGCTCTTGCCCATCTCACGTGTGGCAAATAATAAAAATAATCGTGTTGACATTTAGAGGAATGAAATTAAATATAGAGGGAGTAGGAGGTGACTTAGCAGCTCTGAACGTGTCAGGTGCAGGCAGCTGAGGTGTGTGCCTGTTTTTAAAACATTTCTCCCTGGCAGGGTCATCTCTGCCCCCTCTCCCCACACACGCATGCACACACACACACACACACACACATACCGTAGCCCAGAAGAGGGCTTGGCAGCAGCTCTGGCCATGCTATTGTGCCTGCCTAAGTGCTGCTGGCAAAGAAATGTAAGGGAGGGGAAGGGGAAGCGCTGAGTGAGGGAGGTGTTGGAGATCCTCTCCTCCATCAGGAGAGATCTGCTAATACACAGCTTCCAGAAAAGATACAGCAGCTCTGGGGCAGAAAAGCAGCCTCTCCGCTGAAACGTTTTGGATGTAGAGACCTCTTCAGAGGATAAGGGTGAACTGTGGCATATATATAATTTTGAAAACAGAGGAGTTGTTCTCTCCTTGTTCTCTTAAATAAGGGCAGCTGAGTAAATATACATAAAATACTGCAACCAATTTCAGAGGACTAACACCTGGGATTAGCTGATCTGCATTGTGAATAATGTCAACATCAGAGCTGGCTTGAATTGGATTTTCCCTGCCATAGCAGAAAATATCAGCCCCAGAGGAAACCAGGTAGCAGAAAAAAGAAAATGTTTTCAAAAACATTTAAAAAAATTTCAAAAAGCTATCTAAGAAACTATTGCAATTCTTCCTCTCCCCAGGAAAAATAAACCAGTAGGTGTGCCATGCGTGGTGGAGCTTGTCAGTTCCTGCTGGGAGCTTTATTTTTTTGACCTGTATTAGAAACAACCAGAACTGGGCTTGGTAGCATCGTCTGTATGACTAGGAGCTTGTAGCTTCTCAGGTGATGGTGTTTTCAAAAATAAATTAAAATAAAATATATTGAGGAATAAACACCATCTTTTCCATTTAACGTTGTTCTTGTAAGCATAAAATGCACTACTGAAATATTTGAAAGTTTTGGAAAGGTAAGTAGTTTAGATTTAGATTATACCATAAAAATGTAATCTAATATAAACATATATGTTGAGATTTGTGTTTAGCGCTGCAACCTATTTCAATTTCTCAGTAACTTGAAAATTACAGCAGCATTTTCCTAATGCCCAACACCAGTCAAAATGAAAAAATAATCACAAACGTTCACTATTGATCAACTTTGTGATTCAACATGTTATTAGTTGTCATTTCTTATTATTCTGTTTCAATTCCTTGCAGATTAGAAACAAAAACAATAGAGGAAAATCACCCCCCTGGATCTTAGCCTTGGCCTTTTCCAAGCAAAGAGAAGAGGAGCTGCCAGGCTTTGCATGTCAAGTGGCCACTCGGCTGTTTGACAGCTTCTGGGTTTCAACCCCGTTGGGATTGAGGCAGCTCAAGCAACCACGAGCGATGAGTCCTGTCGTCTGCTGACGCTGCTCCAGCACCATGGCAGACAGGCTGTGATATGACAAGAGCATCCATCCTAGGGAGGCAGCGTTGGGATCCATAATTGGCTTCCTGGGAAACTACAGCTGGTGGAGAGGATGTAAAAAGAGGCGCGCATGTGCCAGGATATTGCTACAGCCTTGCCGAGCTGGTGGATCCACTTGGAGGAGAGTTTTGCCACTGATCTTGGTTTTTTTCTCATTTTGGTAATGTTGGCTTTGGGGAAAATTTCTGCTGACTCACCCACCCCTGGACACCTTTTGCAGAGCGTGGCCGGCCAGTGAAGAGATCCAACGGCGCCTTACCCCAGCTGCGGGTCCCCTCCGGTGGCCCCTGGCACCATCTTGTGCCCAACCCCATCCCGTGGGGCAGCTGCAGCCCCCCGCCCCGGGGAGTCTCCCACAGTGACCCCCGCACCCGGGGCGGGGGTGAGCGTGCCCAAAGCTTCCAGCGCGGCCGGCGCCCGGCAAGATTTTACCCTGTCTGCCGCCGGGGCCCCGGTGCCGCCCCCCGCCAGCCCTGCCGCCCCGCTCACCCGCCCCAGGCCGCGCAGGATGGGGGCGGTGCTGGTGCGGCGCGGGGGCTGCCTGCTGCTCTGGCTGGCCCTACTGCTGGGCTGCTGGGCTGAGCTGGGCAGCGGGCTGGAGTTCCCGGGTGCGGAGGGCCAGTGGACCCGCTTCCCCAAGTGGAACGCCTGCTGCGAGAGCGAAATGAGCTTCAACATGAAGACGCGCAGCTCCAGCGGGCTGGTGCTCTACTTCGACGACGAGGGCTTCTGTGACTTCCTGGAGCTCATCCTCACCCAGGGAGGGCGGCTACAGCTCAGCTTCTCCATCTTCTGCGCCGAGCCCGCCACCCTGCTCTCGGACACGGCGGTCAACGACAACCGCTGGCACGCCGTTGTCATCCGCCGCCACTTCAAGAACACGACGCTGATCATTGACCGAGCGGAGGCCAAGTGGGTGGAGGTGAAGTCCAAACGGCGGGACATGACTGTCTTCAGCGGGCTCTTCCTAGGGGGGCTCCCGCCGGAGCTGCGGTCGGCGACGCTAAAGCTGACGCTCTCCTCCGTCAAGGACCGGGAGCCCTTCAAGGGCTGGATAACAGACGTGCGGGTGAACTACACGCAGGCGTCGCCGCTGGAGAGCCAGGAGGTGCGGCTGGATGACGAGCAGAGCCGGCTGTGCGCCAGGGACGACGTCTGCCTCAACGGGGGCGTCTGCTCGGTGCTCAACGACCAGGCCGTCTGCGACTGCTCCCAAACGGGCTTCCGAGGGAAGGACTGCAGTGAAGGTAAGGGGCCATCGCAGCTCGCCCCATCGCCCCCCTCCCCATCGCTCCGTGGAGGGGACGGGTTGGAGGCCAGGCCTGCATGAAGTTTCATCTGTATGAGTGGATCTTCCTCCCTCCCCTCCCTTCCCACCATGTCCCCGGCTCCCCTCTTCCTCACCTTCTCCTCCATGTCTTCCATGTGTCTCTGTGGCCAACCATGGTGCCATCACTCTTCTGTTCTCTGTGAGGATGGGTGAGAGGAGGAAGAGGATGTTATCTGAGCATCTTCCTGTGATTTGGGGTTGTTCTGGGTGAAGGAGAGATGGGTGCTGGGTACCAGGTGTCACCCAGATGGCAGGGGGTGGCTGGAACCATGCTCGGTGGGAGCTGAGGGAGGGGACGTGCATGCCTATCACAAGCAGCTGGTGGTAATTAATTTGGGGAGCAGGGAAATTGATGCTGGGAATAATTTAACTGGATTAAGTGCAAAGGTGACCTGGGCTTGGTTTTGTAGGGTAGAGGAGACCCAGAGTCCACTTTGTATTTGCCTCTGCTATGTCATTGAAATAAAATCAGTGATTTATTTGTGAATTCCTTAAATTGTGGCCGGGGAGGAAGGGGATTAAACAGAGGATTATGTTTTTGCATGAATGCGAAGGGTACTGCTTTGCAACATATTTAGCAATTCACCATGCCAGTTAGACAGGGAGAACGCAAAAGGGCAAGGGGGAAGTACATACTCCAAGACCACAAAATGACTGAGTAGTTTTACCAAGGAAGAGAGAATCTAGAAAAACAGCAGTTTCCTGAATCTCATCTACAAATAAATCACTGGGTAAAATATGATTCATATTCAGTGCCCATTGTTTTTGGCAAATGGAAAGAATGTGAACGTTTTCTTTGCAGATGCATGCAGGACTCTTGTTTTTATTATTTTGTTAGTAAATGTACCATTGCTTGCAGCTCCTTAGGCATAGAAATTATGTATGTTGTGTACCTAGAGCAGGACGTGAAGGTGTATAAATGAAATAAGAGTATCAAGGGAAAATATGATTGTCATGTCAAAATTGGAGAGCAAAGATGTAAGTTTAAAATGTAAAAGGTAAATATGAATAAGATATTATGAAGGCCAAATTAAGATCTTCACTGAGTGGCTGCATGACATTTATGGCTGAATAATTTGCCTTTAGCATTTCTATCAGATTTCACTCATTATAAGAAAGAAAACATCATTTGTGACTGTGCTTTATTATGTAACACCTTCTGTCCTTAGTGTCAATACTCAAAATGCTACAGTCATTCTGCATCCTGTTTACTTTATCAGCTGTTTATCTCTCATCTGCCATTCGTGAAAAATCCAAACCAAATTAACACTTTAAATAATTTTTATAGGAGCAAATAATAGTTTAAGAAAATTAGTCATTTGTACTTTCAATTGCACCCATTCCTAGAAACTGTAAAATGAAATATATTTTATATTAGGTAAACCCTCTCAATTGATTTAGTATTTGGGTGTCGATTTTTAATATATGATACTACATAATATATAGGTATATGTACAATATGTCTTAATGTCTTACCATCTCTGAGTTAGGCCCTATTATAAAGACAAAGAAAATTATGAGGTGTTGCAGCTTTGTTAAAGCAATAATGAGAATTTAAATACTATTATACATTTATATGCCCTTTACACTAAAACATAGTTTATTTATTTGAAGTTATTTTGCATATGTAATACTTATATGAAAGAGTTCACGTGATTGCATGTAGTAGCAGTCAGATAAATTATTACCTTTACATAATAACACGTTCAGTGGCTATTTTTAAGGAACATTTTAACGTTTAGATCAAATTTTAGAGCAATACTTGTACATATTTATATTTAGTGAAAATGGTATGGAATTTTTAAGAAGATGACACTCAAAATAACATTTAGAATCCCCTTCAAATTAAGTTAAAATGCTGACTTCATGAAAGTGCTGGTGGTTTTACAGTAGACATCAGTGGCATCAAGATTCTCCTTAAATGTCCCTTGACTACTAAGAAGCCTTATAAAACAACAGCAAAGCTTATAATTTTAGCAGAAAGTACTCAGATTCTGATTTCATGTGAAACAGGAGGCAACATTTTCCCTGATAGAAACATAAATGGAACTACATTGCAGTTTATACCTGTTAATTTAGAAGAGGTAGCAACTGACACTTCCATCAGTCAAGTTTTGATGAAGGGATTCGTTCAAAGTTACTCATATGTGCCAGCAAAGATATTGTACTGTTATAAATTATTTAATATTCTAAGAAACAGAAAAGGCAGAAGGACAAGTAAAGCCTTTGTATCTGCCAAGAAAGAAAGCTTGGCTTCAGTTCTTTAGTTTTTTGTAGCCAACATAGACATTAAGCTGTTGAACTTTGATCTTTTGTTCCCAGAATGTGTAAATTTCCCACAAGCCTTAGAAAGACATTGCCATTGCTAGAGGATCATCTCAGGCTGCAATTATCTGAAGGGGTCTTTTGGGTTTTCATTCCTACCCTTGCTTTGGTTTTTGTTTAAAAATGGTTTTAGGTAGGAAGACCCCCCGACTTTCCATTTTTATCTGAAATTTTATCCACATTTCCTAGTTGATACCTTTTCTTTAAAGGAGAAAGATGGTGATTAAATTCTGTTTTCCTTAGATTTTTTTAATATATATAATTTTTTTTGCCTTGGATTTGTTGTTTTTCTATATCTCTGCAGTTTGGTAAAACACAGAGTTCCTCGGTGTAATGAGGAGTGTAGGAATTAATACCAACAACAGCAAAGAAAACCTTTTCAAAATTTTCTACCCTGACTTACACATTTAGGAATTAAAAAGTAATAGATTTAGAGTCAATGTTTCAATTCTTAAGATGCCATTTTAAGTACAAGTTCAGTCATTTTCAGGAGAAAATCTGGTGGGGTTTTTTTCCCAGATTTTCATCTTTGAAAAGCTTATTAATGATCCCTGAAGTAATTTTTTTTCTTGTAAGAATGAAGTTCAACCAAGTTTTGGGTTTGATTTTTTATTCTGTCAGGCTTTTTTGTTTTCTTTTTTTTTAACCAAAAAACAGTAATTTAAGTTATTTCCAGTAATATAGTAATATAAATTATAGTAATATAAATTATTTCCAGTAGGCTTAACTGGTTTTATACCTGTCTAAATCAGGAGTAGCTTCATTTATGTTTTATGAACTACACCACTGGGAGAACAGTGCAAGCTAGGAAGGAACCATTCAGTCATTCCTATTTGTTCCAGTAGGATCTAAGTTCTCTTCAATGGGAACCTTGGCACAAATCAGAGAAAAAGGACTGGAATTTTGCTTCAGTGTCAAGGATGTGCAATCTGTAGCAAAGAAAAATATGATCTCTAGCAGTTCTCTGGTTGATAGGCCCATGCATAAAAACAGTACAAGAGCCTTCTAAAAGATAAAATCTCTGATTTCTACTGAAAAAGGCAAGAGTGTGTTAGTCCACATAATAATAGTGATTCAGCAGAAGGAAAAAATGCACAAAATTATAATGAACTTTATTAGGAATAAGAGTAGCATTGAAATAGACCCTGACTGCCATATCAGTTTTCTGTTAAGTTTTTGACATACAATTCAACCTTCTATTAGGTGAAAATTACAATATTTCCTGAAATTACTCAAATTGTTATGGCTTGATCCTATGATAGGGAGAGATTTTTTTATTAAAAATAAATACTTTAAAGTCAGATTTTTAGTGCATTAAGTCCAGTTCCTAGAAGGTAAGGAGAATACATTCTTCATATCAGTGAACCTCCATATTCTTCTTGTAACTTTTCTCCTTAGGTTAAAATGTTAAAACAAAAAAAACCTCTCTATTTTGCCTATTAAATGACTAAAATAGTGACCTTCTGACTTCAGACAAAAAAAAAAAGTATCATTTTCCTTTCATCCTTTTCCCTTGTCCAGTATCCTGTCTGAGAAAGTAAGCAGGCAGTTCTAAAAGAGGCAGTAAAATACACGTGGTGCATTGAGTTGGGGAAAGTTTCTCACTGATGCTAACTTCTTGTCACTCCATGTCTTTCTGCTTTTCTATATCTCTAGTGGCTTGAAAAAGTTGCAGACAGGATCCTTTATCTTTTTAAAATATAGCTTCCCTGCTTACCTCAATATTAGCATCCATTCAGGCAATGGCTCTGTGAGTTCAAACTATTCCTGTTTATAACATGTGTTTTAGCTGTTCCACCGAGTTTCTGGTTTGTGAGAAAAATGAGGGCTGTTCAGGCAGCTGTTCACTGTAAGAGATGCTCTTCCTTGTCAGATATTCAGAAGTTGATGCCAGCTATGTTTTGAACTGTGAAAGTGATTTTTGAGGAAGTCAGTTCCAGATGTCTCAGCCTAGCCAGCACTTGGATTTGTTTGTTTGGGTTCTGAATATACTGCATCAGTCTTTGTTGTATTTCCTTTTGCATGTTTACTTTTTTAAAAGCCATCCAATATTTATGTCTCTTTGAAATTTTTGATATTTTAGTCCATTTTGTTCTCTTTATGCCTAGAATGAAACATTTGAACTTCTTTTGGCATTAATTATCTATTGCAAGTTGTGTGTTTGAGTGAGATGTTGTTGAACTCATTGCCAATAGTCAGTCTTAACAGAGTAGTAACCATGGTCTTTATCCCTCTTGAATCCTAGCTAAATCCACCTTGGACTATTAAACACTGTGAACAAAACTTGCCTTTTTGATTTACACTTCAGAATCTTTATCTACATGATCTGTATTTCTTCTTCATGCTGATTTTCTTGTTAGTGTCAGAGGCCACTGGGCAATGTTGGATTAGAAGGAGGGCTAGAAATGCACCAGAGATTGCACTGAGGTTCTATATATGTACAAATCACGCAAATAATTTAACATTCATTATTTCACTTTATGTAATATTTTGAAATGGTGACTTTGTTGTCAGAGTAGAATCTTGAGAGTGGATAGTCAAGTCATCAAAAAGTCATTCAGAACTGTTACATCTGTTACATTCACATGCAAT